ACAAAAGAGAGCAGTTGGATCAGTATTTGAACCTTTCTTTGCTTTTAGAGTGGTTTCTGTGGGGAAACTCTTCATCCCTGAAAATGCCTCCTGTCTTTGTTTTTGGCCAGCCAGGTTTTCTCATGCTGGAAGTGGAAGATGTATGCTTCATGGTCAAATATATCAGTCAGTAGATACACTTCTACACCAATTCTTGTCTTCAGCAACTTTGAAATTGAATCAAACTTGGGACAAGTCTTATAAAATCTGGAATATCTTGTTATCACAGGAAGGGGGAGGGAAATCTTCTGTTTTACATTCTTCTACTTAAGTTTTTAAAGAGCTTAATGATCTTATGAATTTTTAATATGGTAAGGAATGTTGATGGCAAAAAGAAAAAATGAGTTTGGAGATGGAGGTTTTTCTCTGTGTGTGTGCACAGTGTTTTTTTCATTGTTATTGTGTTATTATGAAGATGGAGATAACTGAGTGTATAAATCAGATTTGCCTTATACCTGTATGTTTGTATTAGAGTGTGTTTTGCAGTATTTGCATTCCTGGAAGCTCCACATTGCCTGGTGATCCAGGACTGTGAAAATATGAAAAGTTTATTGGAGGCAGTTTGAGAGAGCAAAGACTTAGTGATTTATCTTGCAGTTAGAGAAAGAACAAAGTAAAATTATTATTTCTGAAGTTATTCTTTCTGAAAGGAAGAAAATAGTTTTCAAGTGCTATATTAGTTTATTCTACAGGGTTTTCCCTGTTCCTTTTAAATTATTCTATGTGATGATATTGTCCTTAATTTCATCTGAAGGGTTTAAAGCATGTTGTGGGATGAGTTGTGTGCAGATGAGTTTTACTGCTCTTCTCCACTTGGTTTGGGTATCAGCAGCAAAATCTATGGATATGGGAGAAGCCCAGTCCTCAGCTAAGTATTCATCTGTATTAATGAATTTTATTTCAGTACAGACACAGAGATTTGCCTTACAAACAACACAAAATGCTTTCTTTTAATTCTAAAAACCTGATGTGGTGAGCAGGACTCTTTTCTATCAAGGAGGCAATATTTCACTTAATTTCTCCTTCAGATTAATTTACCTGTCTGCATATTTAAAGCACAAGCTGTGCCATCTTCTGCAGGCAGCAGTTGCACAGAGGCCTGGGTATTTCATATGCATGGCTGCTGCTGCTGGGCTCGTGCCATTCTTTACAGGAGGTGATTGCCTCAGCAGCTTCCAGCCTTTCTTTCCTGTAGTATTTTTAAAAAGCTTTGTCTGTCTGGACAGGTGAAAATGCAGAGTTTATTGAAATAGATGGCAAGTCAGATTAATAATGCCCAGAACCATCTTTTGCTTGGATGTTCATAAGGAAATGTTCACTGGATTTGTTGTCTTTGCTTGGACAGCAGAAGAACAAAGTCGATAGATTTTAATTTAAGAGCTTCTTTTTGTAGTGTTTTGAATATGTGAGTTAAGCACAATTGCCTCGTTCAATGTTAATTTCTTATTCTGGGAAACGGTTGAAATGAACATTATTTTTAATTGTGAGAACAGCTTCTATTTCTGGAGAACAGGTTATTAATAGTCAGAGATCTGCAAACTTCCCTTGTGTCTCTGGGCCCTGTTGTACTTTGTGTTCTTGAGCTTCCTTAAATCTGACTTATTTTTATGGTTAGGAGCTGTAAAATGAATGAAACAGATGCTTCTGTTTGGGTGTCACTGTGAGTGAACTTTACAATCTGTATTTGCCAAGGAATCCAAAGCTGCACATCAGAATCCCTGAAATGTTCCTGCCTGCCTTTACCAGAATGTCAGGGAATGTCATGGCCATTCCTGTGGAGTTTGCTCACCTTGCAAGGAGAGACGAGTTTGGAAATCCTCTCAAGACCTGATTCTTCTTGGGCTGGGAAGAACACACTGGAAGCTGTGCTAATAAATCTGTGCTTCCTTTAGGCTGCCCTTACCTACACATCTTCATTCTGAAGCAAATTCCTGTTTTAAATATTTGAGGTGATTCCACATAAGTTGAGAAACATTTGAACTTGAGGCTTCAGATGCCTGCTAAATGTACTGTGGTGGCATTTGCAGCTCATGCCTGTGTGTGTTGGTGTTCAGAACTGGTTTTTTAATGGTTTATACACTTTTATGACCTTCTGTCATCATTTTACAGGTAGCCACCTTCCCAGAGTTTATTTTTGTGTGTGTATAAACATAAACACACATAGAAAAATAAAGCAGTGTAATGTAATTGAAGCTTTTAAGTCACTTCTTGTGTTTATGTGTCTAAGTAATAAAATTGCCCATCTACAGCTTTCTCTGACATAAAAAGCAGTGAGTGTCCCTGCTGCAAACTGGCAAGCCTAATTTTGGTGCTCTAAAAGCCTTGGATGACATCCTAGTTCACTTGAGGTCTGTAAAAGTGTTCAGCTTCTCTGTCATCTTCAGTTCATCAGCATAAAAATTCTATAATTTTATCAGTTAAATGGACAAAGAGCTGGTAATGATTTTTCTAAGGTAGGTTTTTAATAGGGCTGTTCTACCATTTTCTTCCACAGAATTTTTTTAAGTGTAACCTGTTACCAGCAAGGTTTTTAATACCTTTTCATTGATAAATTCTTTTAAAATAATTGAACCTTTTCTGAAATGATTCATTGTTGTGCACTGCTCTTGCTTTTGAGGCTGTTTTCTAATGGTTTTTCAGTTCATTCTGATTATGCCTTGCCCACATAACACACTTGTCTGTTAGAGACTGTCTTTGAAAGGCACATTCTCAGCTGGATTGTTTCTCTTGGCGACTCAGCAATTGCAGAAATCTGTAATGCTTTGCTTCCCTGTTCTGCCAGCCTTGGGGTCATTGGAAATGCTGTGAGACTGCTCTGTGTACACAGCTAGGGTGTTTCCCTTCTCTGTGCCTGTGTAATAAATACCACACAGTGAATAAAACTGGTTTTATTTGCTTAAACCAACGTGCTCACAGCTGATGTGAATCTTAGAGAGCGTAGCTCTGTTTGCTGCCCCAGTTGAGTCCCTGGCAGCTTAAAATTGAGCAAAATATTTTTAGTGCTCTGTTCTGTGTCTATATTTCAAGCCATGGATAGCCTGAAATAGCAACCTTGGTGTTTTCACTTGTCTTCACAGAGAAATAAAGTCATTGTGTTTGCCTCTCCCCCTCCCCAGCAGGTCACACACGTGGCCCAGCACGCTCCTCCAGCTGGAGCTGTGGGGGGATCTCCAGAATTCCTGTGGGAAGGAGAAAAGTTCCAAATCAGGCAGCTCTGGCTGAGTCAGAGGCAGAGCTGTGCTGCTCTGGGGGCTGGCAAAACACTTGGAATGAGGAGGGTGGAGGATGGAGATGGCCGTGCCCTGTTGGCATCTTTGAGCTTGGAAGCAATAAATTCTGATTTAATACTGAAAGCAGTAGCCAGTACAACATAAAATTATTTTTCTGTCAGGCTGATTTCCTCCTCATATTGCAAATTCAATATTTTTTGCAGTTATTCTCCAAGAATTTGTGTGGATCTGTGGGATGAACACAGCAGTTGTAGGGGTGCTTTGCTGGTTCTGCACTGTGGGAATGATGCAGGCACCTGTTCCATGTCAGGGTTGCATTGGAAATATTGATTGCTGTAACGTGTGGTGTTTTTCTGGCATTTCATAACTGCCCTGCAAAGCAGTGATGAAAGCCCCGTGTGAAAACTGAGCACAGAAAATGAGAAATAGCTGCACCCATCCAAGGATCTCATTACTCTCTTTAATGGTGTGTGTTGGGTTTTTAAATGAAATATCCTCTGTGGGCTGTGCTGGAGGCTGCCCTTTTCCCAGGGATGCTGCACAGAGCTGGATCAATGTGTGGCAGGCAGGGCAGGGCAGGGCCACGTGTCCCTTTGCCTTTTTCTGTGCCACATGGTGAGTGTTGTGTTCCATCAGCTCCTGGACCCTGTGGGAATCCAGAGCTTCTCTCTGGCTGCCCTGGTCAGGAATCCATGGACAGAGATCACAGACAGTGTCTCTGTACAGAGCCCCCAGAGACACTGGCTGTGATCTCTGTCCATGCAAAAGTTTTCAATCTTACAGGATGAATTACAAGCTCTGAGTATTAGATATAAGTAATAATTAAGTGTGGCACGGGTGAAAAAGTAAAATTTTAGGATTCTAGATAAAGGGTTCAAAGGAGGCAAGAGGGAGGAAATTGTGCCTTGTCCTTTTTCTCCTTCTTCATGCCCTCCATGTTTCACTGTGGTGTTGGCATTTTTCTGTTGGTTCAGGCTGGGGACACACTGTCCAACGTAGGTGACAGATATTGGCACGTTATTGTAAATGCAGCCCAGGGAGTTTCTGGTATTTAATGTTTGTCACATCCCACTGAGGGCAGAGCCCCACACGCTGCCCTGCAGGACAGAGCTGGGCAGGGCAGCAGAACATGTGAGAGATAAACAGAATAAACAACCTGGAAACCAGCACAGACCAATTATGGCTTCTGCTTTGGCAGGGGGCTGACAGACAGAGGCTTTCTACAATCTCAGAATCATTTAAATATCACAGATTTCAACAGGACTCTGCCAGCATCAAGCAGTGCTTGGGGAGCTAATCCTGAGCAGGGCTCTGAGGTGGACCCAAGTCTCAGCTTCTTAATCATTAATGACATTTTTTGAAGGGGTGGGCAGGATTAAAAAGCAATAAAATTAGCTACTCCTTTCTCTAACACTCCTTTCCAAACAGTCCTCCATAAATCACAGTGCAGTTCCCATTTTCTTGTCTTCTCAGTGTTTTATGTGTTTTCCTGAGCAGCTGCTCTTGCTACACTTAGGGAATGCTGCTCCAGAGGATACTCCAGTGCTTCTTCTCCAAAGTCTATGTAAACCAAACCTGTGTAGTAGCAAAATATGACAACATCCAGAAATAAAACATTCTAAGAGCAAATTTATTAGGATGATGATGGGGATCATTGATTAGTGATCTAAAGTAGTACTTAGTGCTTGTTACTTTCTTTAACTTGATTTTTTTTTTTCTTTTGGCTTTCAGCTCAGATCGACTGATAGAAGAAACAATAAGGTAGGAATGAATGTAAAAATTTTCATTATTTTCCATACAATCAGCATGTCCATTAAATTGTTTCTAAATATATCAGTCACTATATTTATACAGTAACTCTGTTGTTTCCAGCTCCTTGGCAGTATTACAGGGAATTGCTGGTGGGTTTGGTTTGGGTTTTTTCTATTCAATATTGACATAAGAATGTTGCTTAAATATTTTATTCACCCTAGCTTAGAAAATATGGGTTTCTGCTCAAAGGTGAATCAGCTTTGGAGCAGAGTGAATCTCAGGCTGAGCTGTTGAGGGCTGTTCCAGTAGTCAAGGTGTTTCTTCTCACAGTGACACTTCTCTAAAACCTGTTTTCTGTAACCTTTCAATGTGTTCAGAATATTCAGCACCCAGTGTGCAGCTGATATAGGTAAGGGCTTTCACCAGAACTGCTTGAAAGGTTATTGCTGTTGTACATTTATTTATTTTTTGCGGTTCTTACATGGTTTGGATACTTAAATGATACCTCCTCCAACTGATCTAGACATTCTAGAACTGTAGCAACACGAATTTTATTATCTGTGCCCTTGCCGAGCCAACCTTTTGCAGTCCAATAACTCAAACTGTAATAATGCCCAATTTAATGGTTTGAAATCTTAGATTATTGCTTTAAAACAAAAGGGGAAAAAAAAAAGGTAAGAAAGCAAGTAAGATATGCTTTCAGACAATGCATGTGCTGACATAAATGACCAAAAAGAACAATTAGAGGTGCAGCAAGGCTGTGTCCATTAAGGGCTGGCTTAAGTACACACAGTGGGCTCAGGATAATTAACATGGAGGAAGAATGTGTTAAACCACATCAGTGTGCAGTGATGAACCAGAAGTGATCAGTGCAATAATACCTGAAAATGTGGCTGCAATTTCACCACAGCCTCACAGAAATATTTCTCCAGCTGTATTTGTTTTGGGTTCTAGTCCTTTCCTGAGTAAAAACCTCTCCTTTATTGCCATGCTTGTAACCCTACATTTCCATCTCAAAAGTGCTCAGTGTTTGGTGAATTTCTTCTTTGCTGCCACTCCAAGTAAGCAGAAGATTAAGCAGCATATGGTGATTTATTACTCTTAATATCCTGCAAAATTACATGTAATTATTTTTAATTATATCATTGACCTGGCTTCTCGATTCTGTGTCATCAGAGGAGCTCAGAGCTCTCAACCTTGCACAATTTGTTATCTGTAGTAAATTCTTGCTTGAGTTGTTGCCAAAAATGTTCTACTTTTTTTTTTTTGGTACAAAAAGAGCTGGTTTAGTAACAACATGGAATAGGAAATGTAATTCCACTTGTATCTGAGTTGAATTCTGCCTGTGTTAAAACCAGGGTGAATTTTTTGTTGAACACTTTTTTCCTTGTGGTCCCCAGTAGTGTTTGGGTGTGACATTAATTGATGGTAAATCCTGCTGCCTTCTAAGTGGATTTACCAGATGGGAGTTTACCCAACTCATCAATTGTTTTATCTATTGTAACTCAAATAAAAGAGGGAATTGTGCAGAAGAAGCTGTTCGATGAGAGATTCCTTGAGATGTAATTAGCTTTTTCTGGCTACTGCTCTGTCTTCAAGGTTTACATCTACTGCAGTTCATTACTCATTTTTTAATTAAGCAAGTCAGGAAATCACGTTTTATTTCCTTCACACTTCTATTTCCTCAGGGCTTGTTACTAAGCACTGATTCCAAACACTGGAAAGCATATTTTTGTGTCTGCAGAGGCTTTTGTTGATGAGCTACAGCCACTAATTGTGAGCCCTTGCTCTGATTTTCTGTCAGGAAGAGAAGTGAGGAGTGTGCCTCTGCCTTTGCCTGGTCCTCCACGCGCAAACATCCGTGCCAGGGAATTCATGGGCACTGAGCTGCAGTGGCTCAGTAACCCCAGCAGTGAGCAGGGCTGTCACTCCAGATGTGTCGTTATTACTAAACTTTTAATCAATTTTTAAATGAATTACATGCCATGAGTTCTTACTGCAGCATATTTCTCTCCAGAAGCGAGTGGGATGTGCTACTTTGTACTGCAGCTCTTTTGGAACAGCACTCACTTCTCTTGGCCAGATTTAAATATAAGCAGAGATTTTGCTTAATATGTTTGGAGTTCTCAGGTTTTCATTTTCAAACATTATCACTTCTCCAAAATAACAGACCATTTATTTCTTGTTTTCTAACAACTTGTGTTTTTATGTTGGCTCAGTTGGAGTATTTTTTATAGTTTTGCCTGTACAGTATGACAGGTTTTTAGGATTTTATTGTAATTCTCTTTCTGAGGCCTGATCCATCAGTGTTTGTATATTAGCAGATTGGACTGAAGCCAGAGCAAAGCCATAGTTTTTTGGGTTTTTTTTAATTGTCTGCTTATGTATTTGGGCTATCTCTTTAGGTAATAATTAGGATTTTAAAAAAGAGAAAAATTCATCTTCATTTAGTGTTGATTTTTAAAGGCATGAGCCACATTTTGAGAATTCTCTCATTTCACAACCACCTTGCCAGAGTGTCCATGCAAAATCACTTGCATTCCTGGGGAGATGTTTCTTATGTTTTCATCTCAGGCTTCATCAAAGGAAACAATTGAATAAATAAAGGAATAAAGGAATCTATAAAGGAATTTACCAGGCTGTAGTGTAGGTATGCAGTGATACATGCACATATGTGTATATTTAGAGACACAAATACAGAAATGTATCTTCAGACAAAGAATAAGTGATGCAGTCATAATTTTTACCAATTTAAACTTAGAGCTTTCATTTCTATGCACAGTCACAGAGTCCATTCCCTAATCATAGACCTTGTCATGAATTTCAATGAGGAGGTATGATTCATGGCATGCAAAATGAAGCAGAAGTTCCAGTAATACGTGAATTATTTGATTTTTAATAACACAACTTCTTTCTTTAGGGTTTTGTTTTAGTTCTCCAGCAGTGTAGATTTGACTGATGCGTCTCAACGGGTGAAGGCAGCAGTTGATTTTTTGGTACATTTCCCTCATTGACACTGGATGGATGTAGCTGCAGTATGGGGTGAAATAACAGCTTAAACATTTACTTTAGTCAAAACTCTTTGCTTCCAAGTCAGGCAGCATTAAATGTGTATCTCTGCATGCTAGACTTATCCATCTAGGATAAATGCCTGGAAGTGTTTATTACCCTGAGGGTTTTATGCCAGTGAAAAGAGCAAACAAAGTACAAATATCAGTTGGGTTTGCTTTGGGGGGAAATTTGGCCGCTCGCATACCCACGGCACTGCTGAACAATCAAGGGCAAACTTGGAATGTGGCAGAACTTTTGAGGGAAATATGGCTGCAAGCACAGGAATTTGAGATTCTCCTGCTGCTCTGGAGAAGAGGTAGGTGGGTGTTTTATGGCTGTGACCTCTGGCTTAGCTGGGAGAAATTTCTCCAGTAGTGCAGCAATGCTGAGCATTGTGCTTGAGCAGGGCTTTAATATTAAATATAGAGAGCAGGCCAGATACCATCTGGTTTTAGAAACTTGGTTTACACCCAGCTCTGGTAGTTCCAGCCAGTGCAGCACTGAGAATAGTTCCTGCTGGTTTCCAAGTGAAATGTGGAATCGGGGTCATCTCCATTCCAGGAAGAAATGTTTCATCTTTTATCGTAAAGGTCGCGCGCGGGTTCCGGAACGTCGGAGCTGGGTCCTGCTGCCCTGGGGAGCCCGTGGTGGGGAGTGACTAAATGGGGCCAATATTGTGAATGGGAAGAATGTGATTAATTTTTTAAAATATGCATTTGTCAGTCAGGCAATGGCAGCAGCAAGTCAATGAACATATGTCAGGGATGGGAATGAAACCAAAATCGTCGGATGAAGGATATGAGGAAGCTGCAGTGCTCAAGATCCAAGACCAGTCTCTGGGTTGATCCCCAGGAACTCTGTTTTCTGCTGCTTCTTAAATTTAATAATCTCCTTTACAGATCTGAAGGCTCAGATAACCAGCTCAAGGGCTGAATAATCAAATTATACGTGAGCAACATGGCTTTTTGCTTGAATTCTGATTTGTTAGTAGTAGCTGGAATCCAGTTAAACTCTTGTTCATGAATATCACAATTGTGTTTCATTACTAGACTGTATCATATTAAAAATGGTAATTACCCCAGTTTTTTTCCTTCAAAGTTCTCCAGTAAAACCCAGCCCTTTGAGCTAAATTCTTGAAAATACTGGATTAAAAAAAAAATTAAATTGGCTTCAATCTCTTAACCCTTTATATCCTGCCTTTTTATATGAAATGGACAGTTCCACTCCCCAGATGTTAAAACAGGAACCTTGTGTTCTGTGAATAATTCTTTCTAAAGGCATTTTGGAGGTGGCTCAGGAACACTTTATATATACTGGCAATCATCTTGTGTTTTCACTTCTGTAAATGAATGGATGTTTTAATGAGTCATTGGATGCATCTTACAAAAATATGGGACTTAATTCAGAAGTACTTAGAGAGACACTGTATTAAAAACTCATCTGGACAAATACCAAGTCAGTGTGGGGGTGGGAGATGGGATTCTGTAGGTTACTGAACAAAATTTCCTGTGTACAGATAGGAATTTTTTTCTTTTCTAACTTGATTCTTAGTAATTCAAGATTCCCTGAGTGTTTTCTTAACAGCGAATTTTTAGTGGCTTTGTGAGTTTGTTGTTTTTTACTTTAGAGGACTAAAATACCTGCATTGAAAAATTGTATGTTTGTATCAGTTAAAAGCAGCATTTCACATTTTCCTACCTCTGAAATGACAGCTTTAGTTTCCTTTTATGTTTTTCCTCTTAACTTTTACTCCTCCAGAACATTTCCCCTCCATATTTAAGGCTCATAAACTCATCCAAGAACTTATTTTAATCATTGTTATTCCTGTAGATGAAGTCAACAGCAGTAAAGGTGACTTTTCTGAGTTATTATGCAGCCTTATTGTATTTCTGTCCTGCTTTATGTGTTTTTGAAACATGTGCCAGCAAGGAGAGCAGTATATGCCATATTTTTCTTTCTCAGGCACTGTGTCTTCAAGCTTTGTCAACTGAGCAATTCTTCATCATCTTCATTTAATATCTTGTTTTTAAGATCAGAGCTGCTTTTTTTCTGACCTCCAAAACTTATTAAATTTTAAATGGGAAATTCAGTTTTGTATTGGTAAAGAAACAAAGAAAATGAAAACTTACATACCATGGGGGATATTAGGGGATATTAATTAGGACCAGATCTCAGAAACTGATTTTTTCTGTGCTGTGATAGAAGCATCATTTGAGATGATACAAACTTCTAAATTTAAAGCTTAAGCCATGAGAGCATAATTCTTAGGTTGCTTATAATACCAGTAAAACCAGTTTTCATTGAGGCTGGAGGAGAAAAGTCAAGCCCTGCCTGTTTCAAGAAATCTCAGTGTTACACACGGTTATCACTTTATATGAAACTGAAATCATTTGACTGTAAAAGAGAGAGATTAATGGGAAAATTGTGGTTTCATTCATGTTGCTTCACCCCATTCATTGTCCTCTGAAGAAGCGTTGCCTGCTTGTTCTCCTCTTGTGTGAGCTGTGGATTATTCTTAGCACCAACAACTTGATCTTCTTTCTTTCCCCAGCATTGCCATGGCAACAAAAGAAAATATGACTTCACAGAGAGGGATGTTGAAGTCAATACAAAGCAAGATGAATACCTTGGCAAGTATCCTTTTTCCTAAAAATTGGTGCTGCCTGTGCCTAAGAAGAGTTATGGTACAATTTGTCACTCTGTCATCAGCAGTGTCAGTGGCTCTGTGACATGTACTGTCAGCAGTGACAAACAGGTTTTTATCAGGCTCACCTGATAACCTGACTGAAGCATCTTAATTGTAAATGTGGTGAGCAAGTTGGGTTTGGTCAAATTTGGACACTGCATATAAATTAAGAGAATTTAATTTTCAGGTAGAGGTCTGCAACAGCGTTTCATGCCCTTCCCTGCTGTATGTTTTTATAGAAGCACAATTTCATTTCAGGTCCTGCTTTTTGCTTTCAGAAAAGCTGAAGCTTGGTGTTCATCACTGCTCTCTGTGGTTTAGTAGTCAGGGCCTGAGTATCCTGTCTGTCACACTCTTGTAAGATTTTGGCTTTTGGTTTCTGTGCATTTCTGTCTCAGGGCTAAAGATTTTGCCACGTTTCGAGTCAGGCACGTTTGTTGTTTTCCCACTTATTCCTTCCCTTCTGTCAATGGACAATGTCAGCACTGTTTGACCAGACACATGACATGGAAAGATGCATCTTGGTAACCCAGAAACTTCATTACAGTTCTTAGCATTTGGCAAGAACATTCCAATAACATTTCAATAAACTTTGGCCTTAAGAAGATTGGATTCCGAAGACATGAAGCTCTGAAGCTGATTGTCTTGTTGGCAGTTGTATTTTGTACATTAAGATATAGATTTACACCCTTGTGGTTTTACAGAGTTTGCACAGTGTGTGGGTCATGCAATGTGCAGGATTTTCTCAGTCAAATGCCTTTGGTTGTTCTCTTCACTGGTAATAGAATCCCACTGAAGAAATTCCACAGATGTTTTATATAACCACCCCATTTTTTTTTTTTTTTCATTCTCATTTAAACACAATTAGTAAAAGTAACTAAGCCTCACATACTGGAGATTAAAATGCTGGTAATTGAGGTGATCAGGTGGTGAATTCTGTTCCCTTTTCTCTGCTGGTCTGCAATCAGTGAAGTGCAGCTGTAATCCTGCTCCCTGTCCATCAGCGTTTACTGCTCCTGCTTCCTCCAGCTTGGGAGTAGTTCCAGTGTTGGCATTTCCCCATCCAGGCTTTGGGGCTTGTTGGTGAATCCCTCCTTGTGCTATGACCTTGACTCAGAGCCCTCCAAGACCGTTTTCCAGCAGTGAACAGCCTGATCCAAAGGATCAACCTCCGGAAGCGACGGGATTCCTTCATTCTGGGCGGCGTCATCGGCGTCTGCACCATCCTGCTGCTCCTCTACGCTTTCCATTGATGGCTGCTTCCCCCTGGACTCTGCTAAACCTCATCACCACCTTCCCTCCTCCCAGCCAAGGAGAAGTGACTGGGGGAAGCATCAGACTTGCACAGCCTGCTCGTGGCTGGGGCTGTCAGCATGATGTCTGCAGCTTCTGGTGGTAGACACTGACACTGGGCTTGGGCTCAAGCTGCAGTGTTTCTCCTCCCCTGCTGTTCACCTTCCTTTGGGTTAAATTTGGTGGGATTTGTTTGTCTTTAATTCCCTTTCTCACTGCAAGGTAAGTGCCCGTGGGATGTTTAACCAGAACTGGAGGAAGAGTTCCAGTGCTCAGCAGTGCTGGGGAGGTTTGGTGCTGGCTGGGGAGAGGGAGAGGATTAAGTTTGCCTTGTGTGGAAGCTCAGCAGGAAGGCTTTTCCCTCTAATCCCAGCCCAGTACTGAATTTCACCCTGAGAGATGAATACTGCAGCTTTAAGCCTTCAGGTTGCTTTACTACTAAATACATGTTCTGTAATTCTTCTTAACTCCTGGTTGATATTTTAGTTATTTCTGCATCATTCATGCTGTGAAAACTGTGCTTCACACAAATTCCTCAAAGTTAACAAAAAAAAAGGGGGTTTCCGTTCACTTTTTGTACAGAACATGAATATAAAAGTACCCTCTGAGGGAGATCATAAGATTTCTTGTGGCTTTAAAGGGACTAACAAAGTCCCACTGTGTAAAAAGGGAGCACAGTGTCTCAGCAGCTGTTTACTCAAGTGTTCAGTCATCTGAAAAGTGACCAAACATGAATTCACCTGAAGGAATCTTTTGGGTGCACACATTCTCATTTTGGCTGGCATCAGAAAGATCTTTAAGCAGTTTACAAAGCCTATACTGTAATTTAGGTGAGGTTATTCTGATAGTGCAGGTAAGAAGGAAATGATCTAAACTGTTGATTCGAAATGAAAATAATGGTGGTTTATAGCTGAGGAAAAGGTGTTAGACATAACTCCTAGCAAAGAGCTGACTGTATGAATAGTGATATAAATGTTATTTGCCATTATCTGTGGGGGGGAAAGCTTTTTCTTGGTCTGGACAGGCAAAAAGAACCCTGTTGTTTGTAAACAAAGCTGAAATCTGCAGTGGCTTTGATACTGCAGCTTCCCAGATCACAGATTTTTTCTGCTCTTTCAACAGTACTTTTCCACCTGTCATATCATAAGTCAATAAATTCAAGCCTTAGCACTGAAATACCTTTTTAAGAACTTGATTAACTCTTTTCACAATCCACTTAGAGTGCTCCTATCAGATTCCATGTATTCCATCACCCACAAATGTCACACAGTCCCCAGGTTCTCCTCTGGAACAGAGTCCAGCGGGACGGACGCAATTTTTTACTTCATTTTATAGTGCCTGTGAGTTGGAGGGAATAGAGACTTGTGTGGTGTGCAAATCCACACTGTTACACCCAAAATGTCTGGATTTAAAGGCTTCTTTGCAGACTTAATAACCCTGTGCTAAAAAGTCAACAAGGGCTTTTAATCAGCCATCCTACCATTGGGATTTGGAATTAAGACATGTAAAACTGAAATAAAGGGTGATTATTTGGTTGATTTGGGAGTGTTCCCATTTAGAGATGAAGTGTTTATTAAGGGGGTTTATGAAAAAGCTTGATGGATAAAGGAGGGTTATTAATGGATCTGTGTGTTGGGAGATCAAACTTCTTCTCCCTGTTGCCTTCTTTGATTCCTCCTCTGCCCTAAGGGACCCTGATCAGCACTTGTGCATCTGTTTAGGATTTGTAGGATTTGGTTGCTCTGTCGTTGGCAATATAAGATCTGCAGTACCATAAATAAATTCATTTATTTAATCTTATAACAAGTCTTTTTATTGGACTTAACTGATTATTTGGTGCATATATTTAATCTTATTGTGAAAAAGCTGCTATGGAAAATATGTAGATTATAATAAATATGTAAACATAATGGATTTTTCATGTTATGAAAATGTTATGGAGGACCTGATATATTTTAGTATAAAATAATGGAAATATGCTGAATTATCTCTGATAAAGCTTTACTGGAAATGGTTTCGGTGTTGGCAGCCCCTCCATGGTTTTTGTTTGTGCTGGTTTTGAGTCAGTTTTGTGTTGAAAAATACATTTAATTATCTTTGGAATTTTCCCTTCATCATCGTCTGGCGGAGTGAGCGGGTGTTGTGCTGTGCTCCCTGGAGGGGTGTGTTTGCATCTGGCCCAGGGAAAGGCTTCCAAATTCAGGAGAATCAGCCTCATAATTCATCTCTAACAACCTGGACCTGTGGTCAGAACAATGGACTGGAAAATGAACACAGTGGATTGTAGCATTCTGCCTCAAATCCCAAAATACAGGTTTGTGTGTCTCCTGTTGCTAAATGTGTTCTTGGAGTTTTTCATTCTGTGTGGTTCCTCCTGCTCTGAGGGAAAGAAAGATGTGGTTAAAGAATTCTCATTCCTGCAATTCCTGCCAAAGTGGCTGTTTCCTAACTCAACCCAGCAGAAGTGTGCTAAGAAAATCATTGCTGAGCACTGAAATGAAGGGGGGAAATCCAGGGTGTTTCTCCAGGACGTGTTTCACACACACAGACATCTTTTTTCAATTTCTGCTTCATTCTTCCTGCCAGATAAGCAGCTTCTTCAAACCTGGCCAGGCACTGGAACACAAAGGACTGTGTTGGTAACGTTGATGCCACACTTCACACAGGTGGGAATGTTTTTATCCCTGTTCTTTAGATTATTTTTTACCTGTTTATCAGGCTGTGGTTGCTGCAGCAGAGCAGTGGCATTTGGGCAACACCCAGAACTCTGTCCACAGCTGTAGCTTCTCCCCAGGGCAGTGCCAGGGCTTTGACCTTCCTGGGAAACATTTTTTTCTTAACCAGTATTGATTTCAGGAGTTTTGCATATCAAAGTGGGGTATAAATTACTGCTGGATTACTGAGTAATCCACTCAAGTTTTCATTTGTAGTTCAGAAGTCTTTGTTATGTTTTCTTAAGATTAATGTGAGAAGAGTCAGTTCCTTGCTGGATGTTGCAAATTAAAGAGCAGAAGTAGATTTTAAGGTGATGTGAGAGTGTCAGGTGAATTGTTCACTGCTGTCCTGCTGCTTTCCCAGAGCTGCTGCACAGGGAGCTGAGGCTGCTGCACCACTTCTGATGGTGCAGCTCCATTTTGTCACAACTAAATGAGAATTTTAACTCTCTAAATGTAGCAACTTGTTTCCCAAGATCACTGAAGGCATAACCTTTTTCTATTTTTACTGGTTTTGTCCCAAAGCTTTCATTTGAGACAGGAAGGAGAGGGTAACAGCTGTCAGTGCTGGAGGAAATGGTTCTGAAATCCCTTATAACAAAATTGGATTGTGGAATGTGCAGGACAGGAGGCTGCAGTGAGATTCACAGTGAGCCACTGCACCTCTCCTGGCACTGCACATTTGAGCCAGTGGTGATGTTTTAGTTCTGAGTACAGAAGCAGCTGTTGGTCTGTGTGGTACTGAGTGAGGAAAGCAGTTAATTAAACACTCTACACCCAAAACAAAGCCCTTTCTCACAAAACACCCCATACCTTGTAAATGAGTTTCTGATTGCACTTTCTGATTTTTTTTTTTCTTTTCATACACGTTCTTGGAACTTCTATTGTAACTGTAATTATTTTTGTTCTCACCTATTGTGCGTTCTCTGTATGTATTAAATAAAAAAAAGGCTTTGATATGTAATTTAATAATAAATTAGAATTCTAAGCAAGGTGCTTGGTTCTTTCTCCCCTTGAAAATCTTTCCCTACCTGAACTTCAGGGAAGATGCATAGAGGATTCATCTCACCTCTTTGGAATTGTCCTTGGACATACTAATTGTGTGTTCTCAGGTTTTATATCAAATATCAGATGTGATGGAACCTTTCCTGACCCAAAATGGTTTGGGGGGCTGTGTTCCTGCTGCCTGCGTGTGCAGTCCTGGACTCATCTCCTACCTGGGCTGATCAGACTTGTGGTGGTTTTCCTGCTGTTCTTCACCAGGTGGAACAGGGATGGTTTTCTTTCGAGGTAAGTGTTAAAAAGGAAGATCCCTCTGTGAATTGCTGTTTTCAGGACTCTGTTACCCTGTGGTTTTCCAGCACCACTGTGCTCTGGTGCACCTCCCTGAGGTGTTCCAGTGTCGTGCCTGAAGGATCCGCCTGTGCCTGGTGTTTTTGCAATCAATGCTGAATCCTTCAGTGCCACTCCAAATTTGTATTCTCAGAGCAGCAGAGCTGCCTGGCATTGTGGTACCTGTCTGTGCATGAGGCTGGGAGTGAAGAGAGGGATTTCTTGCAGAGCTGTCGTGCTGTGCCTCTAAACACTGCCTTAAAGCAGAGATACATCTCTGTATCCTTAATGCCTACTAAATATTCAGGAGTGACCAGATGCTTTCCCGAGGGAAGGCTTTGACTGTATGTCTCAAGCTAAAGGAGGAACTTCAAAAAAAAAACAAAAAAAAGCTTTTGAAGATGGAAAGGCAGTTCTGGTTCCAGACGGTGGGAAGTGCAGTGAGTTTTTCCAGTTGCGGCGCTGGTAATAAGTGGTGCATAAAATTCCATCTTCGTTTGGATTAGAAAATAAATTATTAATGGCACCGAATCCTTTTTTCCTGCTCCCTGTACAGTCAATAATTTATAGTGGCACAGGCATAGGATATATATTTTTAACCATCCGCCTCCCAGAGTAGTGTTGTTCATCCTGAGAAGTGCTGTCCTTCCTGACAGGCTGGGTGCTCCTGCATTATGGATGAGCCCGGTGCCATTCCCCCAGCAGATTTCCTGCTGAGAGGGAACCGAGCCCTCCATCAGAAATTCACACCAGTGCCTTTGTTTCCTCCCTTTCACCGAACGTGGGCGGGTGTACAGCCAAGTGAACTTGATTCGGGAGCGTTTTAATAGAAAAACCCTCAATGTTTACAGCTGCTATTCCCATTTCCTGAATGCCAGCCTTTTATCCAGCATCTCCAGGTAGGAAAGCTGTGCTGGCAGCGCCCGTGCCTTGGCAGCTGGGCTGTGCTCATGAAGCGCTGTCGCCTTCATCTTCCCCTTCTTGCCGAGCTGCTGGAGCGTGTGCTGCAGCTCTTCCCTGCTCCTTGTTTGCCTGTCACAGCCCTTCCCGTGTTCTTTGTTCCTAATGGGACCCTGAGGCTTTGCTAACCCAGATTTCGGAGTGAGGCAGGAGGAGCCTGGCTGGAAATCAGAGCCGCTGCACCCCTGGAGCAGCGCTTGCCATCCTCTCATGGCGGGTTGTTTTCTGGTTGTCTTGGTTTTGGCACCCTGTGGAATTTGAGAGGTCTCCTTCCATCGTGGCTGTTCAGATCTTGCAGCTTGTGTTGCTTTGCTCGCTGTACTGCCCATCCAATTCTCCTCCCTTCATTCCTGGGTGTTCGTGTAGACATTTTGAACACGTGGAATTCTTCTTTGGTTTCATCATTTTAATTTCTTACTTTAAAATCCATCCTTTGAACTTCAGAAGGGTTGTCCAGGGTGATTGGAGCTTATCAATCAAAGGCAAACCTGAAGGAAATTCACTGATAACCACTGAGGTGCACAGCGTGGGGGTCTCCCACAAATGCTGTAAACAGGGAGGGTTTCAATGTTTTATTTCTTTTCTTATCTCCCTTGCCCATACCCCTCCATCTGATGCAGAGTTCTTGGAAGCGGGGACAATATTCTTTATCTTTTGTCTTTCTAAAGCTGCCCTGAAAATAGAAGCTCCTCTCTGCAGGTTGCAAAGCCCTGTTGAGCTGCCAGCTGTACAGTGGAAACTTCCCCAAGATGTTTGTGGTGCCTGTGCCTGGGCATGCCTCCGGCTCCAGACCTGTGCTGAGCTGGCTTTTCCAGGCTGAAATGCTGCTGAAACCTCCGGTTTTTAAAGGGAGCCTTTTCTAAAGACTCTGCAGGATGCTCAGGAACGTTGCAGGTGTAAAAAGAAATTGTGAGTAGCTGGGAAAGTGCTGATCAGGTGGCCCTGGCAGGTCCAGCTTTAACACACAAACCACAATTTATTACATTAAAAAGCGACTGGACCATGCAAGGACCTTGTCCCCACTGGAGATGGGTGAGAACCTGGTGGGATCCTTTGAGTGTCCCCCACTTTCAGTGTCAGGAGAGGCTGGAATGATCCTGGGGCTTGTTCAGCCTTGATGTGGGACAACACCCAAGTGCAGGAGGGGGGATATGTGGATATTTCCCTGCTGTGCTATAAATGCAGTTCCCTCTGGGTCAGGCATGTATCACCAGGGCTAAATTTACTTCAAAATATTACTGAGGTGGGGAGGTTTGTGACTCAGGTCTATAAAAGCATGCAGTGCTTATGTAAAGAAATAAGTTTGGAAAGAGGCAGGAGGGGGCTTGGGCTCCTGCAGGGACCATTCCTGGTGTGTGTTTGCCCTCCCTGCATAAATAGGTTTTTGTGTTGGGAGCAACTGCACCTCCAGTCTGTGTGTTCCTCACAGCAGGATCTGCTGGCCAGCTCTTCCTGTGTTTCCAAACATTTCAGCAAATGTTTGTAAATAATTTCCAAACCTACGCTCTGGCTCAGATGAAATTGGTTTAAAATAAAAACCAACAAATGCAGTGGGATGATCGGTTCTTGTAATAGTTCAGGGTGACTTCACATTGAGTTGTGCCACTCTGTGAGGGCAAAGGAGGGATTCTGCTGTGGGGATTTTGGAATTTGGATCCTTTCCATTCACTCAGGTGTGTGTTTGTGTGTTTGGTCTTGGAAAACCTGAGTTCCTGGAGTCAGCTTTGCCCTGGCAGGGAAGTGTTGGCCATCCTGCAGCACCAGCAGCATCCTCAGGTCTAACCACAACCCCATCCCAGGGGAATGAGCCTCTCCCAGCCCTCCTCAGGAAATGGGGGTCCCTAACTCAGCAGCCAAGCTCCTGCTGCAGTTGTGGTGCCCCTGGGAGGTGAGTGCTGGTGGTCTGGGAGTTCTGGGAAGAACTGTTAACTCATTTTTTAGGACAATTCAGCTTACACCCACTCTGTTTTGCAGTCAAAAATCAAGGTAGAAATAGAGCATTGCTTTAAAGACAGGAGTCTTTCTCTTCTACTGCTGTTGGCTGCATACCTGGGCTGGCTGCTCCAGACCAGTGAGGAATGGCAGCACAGGGTGTCAGGGACTGGGTTATTTTTCTGCCCATTTGTAGCTGATTAAATGATCCATCTGCATTGATCCTTACTGGGAAGGAGGATAAAAGACAGGTTTTATGGAATTGTACCTGAGATGAAATAATTGGAAGGAAACGCTTTGGAATCTGCAGTCTGTAATTAAACATTTCCAGCAGGCAGCGAGGTGCAGCAGGCTCAGCAGAAGGAGCATTTTGCTGGGAAGTCTTTGCTTTGCTTCACGCTGTTTGCTATTAAAGCAAACAACTTCACAAGCTTCAGAAGCATTGGCAGCTCTTGACCAAGAATAGCATCTCACATCACAGCTAGGCTGGAAACAATGAGGGCCAGCAGTTGTCAGTTGGTTGGGCTTTTTTAGCCCATAAACGAGGTAGCTGAGCTCATGGAGAAATCCCCATTTCTCTATTTTAGGTGTTCTAAGATGTTTCATCTTCTGAAGGATCCGGCAACAACCACCATTAAGCACAAGTCCTCATTTAAAGTAGATCTGCTGGTGCAATTCCCACTTACCTGGGTGTGCCAGGCTCTCCTCCAACACATAAATCCTAAATCCTCACCACCTAACCCAAGCTTGTGCAAAGTCTACCAGACATTTCTTGTCTGACTAAAAAATTACTCTGAGATGTGACAGCAACATCCACCCTGTGGGATCATGTGGAATCCCCATCCCTGGGAGGCTCCAAGGCACCTGGGGACGTGGTTTTGTGGTGAGCATGGCAGTGCTGGGTGGGTGATCTCAGCGGGGTTTTCCAGCCCCATGGCTCCATGCTGAGCATGGCAGTGCTGGGTGGGTGATCTCAGAGAGGTTTTCCAGCCCCATGGCTCCATGCTGAGCTCTGCTCCTGGTCCAGGGCTCTGGGGGGATGTGGAGCTGTGCCTGTGTCACTCCCACGGCGTTTGCAGGGGAGCAGTGCCAGCTTTGGGCTGGAGCAGCGTGCAGAGCTCAGAACAGCTCCTGCCTGAGGAGGGGAGGTGGCTCTGGGTAGGGAAACAGGGAGATGGAGCCCTTCAGCACCCTCACAGGGTGAATTCATTTTTTCTCTGCTCTTTTTGTTGTTGTCTACCAGGAGTGTGTTTGGTGAGCTGCTTCGAATATTGAAGATATCCAGAATACATCCGAACTTCATCTTTTTAAATCTCTGCAGCTAAGAAGCTGTTCTGCAAGCAGGGAGAATTTGGGGTGCAATCTGTTCTTTTTGGTCCAATGCTGGGGGCTGCATCTCTGGACACCAGAGCCAGGATGTTCATCACAAAGTCTCTCTGCAGCCCTGAGCTTTCTTCCTGTGGCTGCTGAGCCCAGGGCTCCATCACCTCCCAGATGACTTCCTGAGAGGCTTTGAGAGCCCAGGGAATCCCCAGGCTGCTCATTCTCAACAGCAGCCAGCATTAGGAGCCAGAGAGAAAATGGAAATGCTCTCCCTGTGTTTTTAATTCCTAGCTCCTGACTGGAACAAAGTCATGGAAACCAGTTGAGGAGCTGGTGGCCAATTTTCTGTCCTTTGCCTGAACCCCAAATTCATGCAAATTCATCAGTGAAGACAAACCCTGGGAGATGAAGGGACAGCCCACAGTGCTCAGCTGAGAACGTATGCAACGTGGAAATTGGACATGAACCTCTTGCTGTTCCTGTGTGAATCTATTATACATGAGCCCATCAGAGCAGGGTATTAATAAAACAGGAGCTGAAGAGCTCGGCCCTGCCTTGGCTTCAGTGAAACATCCGAGCCCGGGCTGGCGGCGGCGGCGTTTGAAGTCCGGGGCTGCATCTGGTGACGTGCTCGGGATGCTCCGGGGGAATCTCTCCACTGGAGGGGAATCTCTGCACGGTGTGGGGGTTCCAAATCCTCCTCCAGGACAAAGCCATGGCTTTGCTTTTCTTTTTCTTCTTCTTCTTCTTATTTTTCTTTTTTTTTTTTTTCCTTTTTTTTTTTTTTTTTTTTTTTTTTTTTTTTTTTTTTTTTTTTTGCTCAGTCTTCTGGCTTTGCTGAATTCTTTAGGCAAGGCACAAAGAGGGCTGAAGATGGCTTAAAGCAGCCTCAGACATCCTGTGCTGGGATGCTGGGATGCAAATGGCATCTGGTCCTTCAAAGCTGTCCCCACCAAGACCCCTCCCGTGCCTTTTGTTGCTCACAGGTAGCACCAACCCGAACCCTCTTTGTTTTGCTGAATCATGGGGAGCGAGTTACACTGGGCTTTCCAAACATCTGCATTTTGTGTCTCCATCAGGACAAATAAATGTGGCTCTTCAGGCCTGCCCTGCGGTCCCAGCTATGCTGCAAAGCCCTCGTGCAGGCAGGGATGCCTCTGGCTCTGCTGGCTGGGCAGAGGCAGTGGGGAGATGCCGTGGCTGAGTGACAGAGGCTTTGTGCAAACCCAGCCTTGGTGGGAAACTGGAGTAGCTGAAGTGTGGTGTCAGCTTGGACCTGCATGGCTGTGAGTAACTCACCCTGGCTGCTGGTCCTGGGAGGTTTGAGCAGCTGCTCTCTGAGCCCTGGGATGTGAAGCTGAACATCAAGAGCCCTGGCTTAGGTGCTGCTACAAGGGGAGGGTGTTTAGGAGTAAGAACCAGCAGATTGAATTAGACTTGCAGTTTACAAAGCAATGGGGAATGGATGGACTGAGGAAAATTGGTTTAATTTGTTCAAAATGGCCCAGTGAGCTGCAGAGCTGGGGAGGGGGATAGTGTGTTGCTGTTGAGGCAGGACAGGAATGAGAAGACTCTGACTTAGAAGGTTGTTGAGAGTAAAACTCTGATTTATTTAAAATATACCGCTCTTTTATATAGAGCTTTGCAAGGATTAAATTTATTGGTTTTGAAGTGAAAACAACCCACACCATTGGTGCAGGGTGCTTGACGCACAGTGATAGAACTTCACTATAAACAGTGTGAAAAACAAGAGAGAAAGAATTATTTACATTCTTTCTCAGCTCTTTCCCAGGCTTTTGCCTGGCTAGAAACTCTCTGTTTCTTTCTTTGACTGAATCTGAGACCCACAATAGTGCAGTGCAGGAGGAGGGCCGTGGGGTGAACAGCTGAGCATGGTGCTGGTGTGTTGGGGGCTCTGGAGCAGCTCTGTCTCCCTGGGCAGTGCTTGGTGCTATAGGAAACCTTAGGGACAGATCCACTGCTGAGCCTGACTTACAGAGGCTGGGCTTTGTGCTGTGGGCAGCAGCTGATCTAGAACTAATTCCTGTTCCTTGGATTAGTGTCTGAGATGCTCATGAGGATAACACTTCTGTTTTTCATGAGCTCACAAACATTTAATCTCCACCCTCTCTGCCTTTGAGCACCTGTGGGGTTTTACTGTTCATTCATTTTTCAGTGCCCCAAACCCTACAGTGTGCATCCTTCAGGAAGGGCAAGTTTGTCAGAGAGAAGAGGACAGGCAGGCCAAAGATGGTCACAGCAGAGGGGTTTGGATCACAGGGTGGGTTTGTTCACCCCCCAGCTGCAAACACTTCCTAAAGGTGCCACAGCAAGTCCAGCCCTGGATCTGCTCCACTGTTTGCTGCTGAGTTATTGGGTGGCTGTGTCAGGGAGGAGATCCCAGACCCCTGAGGCTGGAGCTGCCCTGCCTGAGGATGTGCAGGATGCTCCAGGCAGGGACTCGGAGCCATTTGCTGCTGATTCACGCTGCAGGATTGGCCTCTGTGCCCGTCCATCGCGGGCATGGCTGGAGGTGCAGGGGCTGTGTCTGACAGCAGGGCCTGCAAGGCTCATTTTTCATCCTTGTGCTGCTGGCACTGCCCTGGCTGGGAGGGGAGGAGCTGTCCTGGGGCAGCTGTGGTGACATTCCCCTCCTCACACAGCCCCCTAATATCAGGCTAGCTCAGAGGTAAGCAGGCTGTGAGGGGAGGAATATCAGGAGATGGCAAAGATTTCCACAAGAGGCTCTTACCCCACATATGTTGGTTCAGCTCTCTTTATTCTGTGGTGTCCAAAGGCAAAAGAGCAGAACAGGAAATGTTGGGGGTCTGTACAGATTTTGGGCAGGGTGGGCTTCCCTGGCTCTCCCATTGGGGCAGGAAGGAGGGTCCAGGGTTCTCTGATCAGAGTCCCGGGGTCCCGGGGAAGGGGCACAGAGTGCCCATGAGCTCACTGTGACACTGTGGGACTGTGCCACCTCCCCAGGTGAGGGTCTGCAGGGTGGCACAGGCAGCTGCTCCTGCAGGGCTCCCCAGGCTGCCTGGGGCTGCCACTCCTTGCCAGGGGATGCCAGGGATGGGCAGGGAGAGCAGAGCTCTGGGATGCAGCTGGGTGGAGTTCTGCACCTCAGCTGCAGTGAGGACCAGCCACCCTGACTGACCAATGAACACAAATAAACCCTCCCGGGGACCCAGGAGGCTGGGCAGCCTTCCAGTCTGGCTGGAAAAACTCCTGGGAAGTTTTTGGTTAAAACCAGCACAAGGCTGCTCTGTCTGCACCTCTCCCTGCTCTGACTTGTGCTGTTTTCTTTACTCCTTGCCTGTACATATTATTTGCAGCCCACTGCACCCAAAATACCAACTGGTTGCTCTCAGAGTGTGAAGCAATTGCTGAATGAGTAGCTTGGATAATTTTTTTTTTTCTCATTTAGACAGAAGAAACCAGTTCAGCTTTGACCATGCATGTTACATTTTAATTTTTTTTTTCTCATGCCAAGAAATACAAAGAAAGTATATAAGATATACCATACCATCCTGCAGAAAAAGAAACATTTGTCAGCCAAGAGAAGCACCCAGCTGCAGTTCCTGGTGTGTTCATGCTGTGTGTGAGCTGTGGCTCTCCCAGTGGGGGGATGGACCCTGCACTTCCATGCCAAGGATCAAGTCCTGGCACCTTCTAAGGGCTCCCAGGTGGTATCAGGGCTGCCTTGGTGAATCCTGCACACGTTCCCTTTCTGATGTTTCTTATCATAATGGGTATTTATAGGTTGGGATGGGTATTTATAGGTTGGGATTTTGCTACTTACTGGTGTCAGCAAATGCTTTACAAATATTCCCACTTTGAAAAGGCTGCTCTCCCCCCCACACCCCCTTGGCTTGTGCCCAAGCAGGGGAGTTTTTCAGTCCAAACCTAAACCTAACTGGTTTTGCCAAAATTAAAGGCTGGATACTGAAAGGAAAACGAGCTTAAATCTGAATAATTTCAGCTTAAAGGACAACCCTGGCTGTGGTTCTGTGAGGAGTAATGAAGCGACAGGGCAAGGGTGGGGCCAGCCCAGTGGGTGCCTTTCTGCAGCCTCTCCCTGGGCTCAGAATGGACAGAAATGAAGGTTCCATTTTCTAGAAAAGGCAGGATCTGCTCCTCTTGTCTACATGGAGAAATGTGGGGCCGGGTCAGAGCTCCCTGCCCTCCGTGCCCCCTTCCAGCAGGGCCAGAGATGAGATCTCATTGCAGCAGGACCTGCCCAGGTGAGAGGAGGGACAGAGGGAGGAGGGAGAGCTGAAGGACTCCAGGGAGCTCTGGGGGTGGGATGCTGAGGGGACAGCGTGGGAAAACCAGCAAAGCACAGAGGAGGAAACTGGAACAGGCTGAAACACCAGCCAGAAGAGGCAAACCCATCCTGAACACGGCAGACTTTGAAGTCTTTTAGTGGCTTTCTTCCCCTGCTGGTGCTCAGATCCCTTTGGTGTCTGCAGGGTGCTGCTGTCCCCACCACTGGCTCAGGCAGACCTTTCCTGACCCTGGGTCACTGCATCCCACCTGGGGCTGCTACAAAACCAAGCCAAGTTTGTTGCTGGTTCAGCTTAAAGCTTCAATCCAGCAGCCAGCAGCCCTTCTGTGCCACCCCACAGAGCCAGGCTCTGCCCCAAATCCTGGCAAAGAAGGCCAGGGACAGCAGTGCCAGGGAGGTGCCAGCAGCCCCATGCTCTGCTGGGAGGCTCCTTCCCCTGGGTTTCCATCCCACCAGGACCTGTCGATTGTAACTCCCACTCCAGCTCACACTGAGAGGCATTTCCCAGCTCCTCCATCCCTTCAGAGCTCTCCTCCCACCACCTCAGCTTCCCTGGCAGGTAGGGCTGGATTGTCACCGTGCTCTCACCTTTCCTTCAGCAGGGGGGAGAAGTTGGCCAGAGCCTGAGGATTTTGTGCCTGTTTTAGTTGCAAGCATGGAGAATTCTGGTGTGTGTGCTCAGAGGAGGCTGCAGCAGGGGGCAAAGAGCTGGAAGAAGGAGCAGGGATGCTTGGAGGGGCTGGAGAGGAAAGGGCTCATGGCACAGCTTTTGTGGTTGCCCTCCTGTGTGCTAAAAGCTGAGTTGAGGAGAGTTCCCTGGGGGTGGCTGAGCCTGGTGGCCTCAGGGTGAAGTTCTGCCATCATCAACCTCACTGTGACCCTGCTCAGGTGAGGGCTGGGGGCTCTGCAGCCTCCTCCTGCACAAATATGAGCAAATTCCACCCAAAAAGAGCCAAAGAGGGAGCTGAGCTGAGCTGAGATGGGGAGAGCAGAGTGGCAAAAGCTTTGCAGAACAGGCTGCAAAATGTGTGGAGAAGTTGATGGGGGACAGGGAGAAGGGACTTGGAGAGTTTATTCCTCCAGCATTGGAGGAGCAGGTTACAAGCACAGTAAATATTTTGTCAGGGGTAACTGTAGAGGGTTTCCTCTGGATTTAAATGCAGGATAAAAAAAAAAAAAAAAAAAAAAAAAGCTGTGTTCAGGGGTGCAGTACAATTGTATCTCTTCAGGAAGATTTTAGAACGGAAAGGATTCAAGTGTCTTAGTCCTTCTCTTTTGTTATACTGAATAGTGAGGTGAGAAGCATCACCCAAGCTGTCCAATGAGACAGGAGGCACAAACAAATCATCACCCTGGGGATTTTGGGGAATCTTCTGCCTTCTCCTGCATCCAGGGGAGTCCTGGTACCTCCTCTGCCCTGTGCTGGCCTGGCCTGGGAGTTCTCCTGGCAAGGAGCACTGCAGCTTCCCCACAAAGCCCTCCTTCCCCTGCCTGCAGGAATCCCATTTGGAGTCACAGTGGGGCAGTTTGTCTAGATCCCACTGAAAAAAAAAACAAACCCAAAAAACCCAGATTGCAAGGAAATCTGTGCTCATAGATGGTTCTGTTAAGGAGGAGGAAGAAAAGGGGGTTGGTTTGGGAGCTGCTCAGTGCCTGAGCATTTGCCATCCCTGCAATTAGAGCAGTAATGTGAACCCACCTCATGGGGGGTGGCAGGGTTTAATCCTTTGGATGCAGAGAAGCACTTTAGATGAAAGGCTTTATATAATGATAAAAGAGCATTTAAATCCTTACTTAATAAACGCTCAGTGCTCTCAAGTCCTATAACTCCCTCCAGCACTTTTCCCTGAAAAAAGGACCCTTCCTGCTCAAGGAGGAGCTTCCTGGGCTCTTCCCATCAGCTGAATTCCAGCAGCCCCAAGGGCAAAGGGCAGGAGATGCAGGGACAGGCAGCACTGCCCTTATGTAGCTCCAAAAATCCCCCCACGTGTCCCCCAGCAAGCAGCTCTTGAGCCCAAGAGTTAAAGAAGGAAACATTTGGGGGATTTGATGTGATTTCAATAGCCACAAGATGAGTTTGAACATCCAAGGGAGGGTTTCTGAAGGGCTCAGGAGGAAAGAATGCAGTTCCTGGGTAGTGGATGGAGGAGGGAGCTCCCACCCAGCAATGCTCAGCAGCCCCTGTTTGCTGAACTCACAAAAGATAAATTGCAAAAGAAAAGTTGCAGATTTGGTCCATTTTAGATGCCAGCAGTTTGTGATGGAGTGCTGGCAAAGGGGTGGATGGGAATGGAGCCCGAGAAAGTGCTGTAGTGATGTGCTATTGCTGTGAGCCCCTGGCATCCCTTTTAGAGGAGAGAAAAACGTTGACAGCGTGTCTGGGGGATTTGGCTTCACCCCCTGGATTCAAACAACATTGAGAAGAAAAAACCACTTGGAAGAGGAGCAATCCAAAAGGTGACAGGAGAATTTTGACAGAGATGCCCGTGGCTTTGCACATTAGCTACTACAGAGTAACTACAGCGTGGAGTTACACCTCACCCCTACCCTGTGCTAACCCATGTGCCCACTCAGAGCCCGGGGAAGGAGTCAGTGCCAAGCAGTTACCACGTTGTGAGGTTTCTTTTAGTGGATTCTCCATGTAGACAAGCCCTGGGAAGCACGGAATTTGCTCTAAATTAGGGGTGTTTTTCAGGAGATTGCTGTTAGGGAGCAGAAGTGCCCTGCAGGACAACATTTCCCAGCCAGTCCCTGCTTTTAGGTCGCAGGTTGTCAGCTGGAGGCAACAGAAAGGTCGGGCAGTGCAGCTCTTGGTCGTGTGTCCCCAAAGTTTGGATCAAAGAGGCTCAGGGAGCCAAAGGACGTGGCCAGAAGTCACAAAGCCTGGCTGAAACAACAGGCAATGGAGCTTTGCATAGTCTGGGTGGGTGGGTAGAGGGCCAACCCCAGGAATTCCCCACAGCAGTGAGGGGAGAGCAGGGAGGAGAAGGGCTGGGGCTGGATGGAGCATGTGGGGATTGGGTCCCACAGGGATGGGCTGAGGGAGCCGTGTGCTGTGGAAGACCTGGCAGGGCCCGTGGTACCTACAGACAGAGTGGGAGGAGCAGAGTCTTGTTTCCTTGTTGTGTTAAATACAAAACATTAAAAAACAATACAACGACTCGAGGAACTGACCCCAGGCAGCTCCGGGGACGCTGGAGATTTTCAGAGCAGCAGAAGAGCTGTGTGAGGGGTGCAAGGAGAGGAGCAGGAGTCTAAAACTCCTTCATGGCCCTGAAAATCTCCTGGGAGGCCCTGAGCTGAAGCCTCAGAGGGTCGGGGGGATGAGCACTGGCAGTGCTGGGGGCTGGATCACGCTGAAGCCTCGGACGTGCCGCGACATCGGGGTGCGAGTGCCAGAAGGGGCTCCCTGTGCCCTGGTGCTGCTGCTGGGCATCAAGCAGGCTCTCGTCTCAGTGCCAGGGGTGCCAACCTCCCTTTGGGTGCACAGAGAAATGTGTGGGTTCACAGGGAACGCCTGATTTTGCCTTCCTTTAAAAAGCCCACCATGGGATGGGGGTGAGGAGGAGTCTGGGGTTCTCATGCAGCAACATCCTCCTCTGCCAGCTCTGAGCTCTGCCCTAAGTGATAAAAGAGCTTGTAGGAACAGACATGGAGAACATTCCCAAAGGCATGCAAATGGTCATTGTCTCTTTGATTTTTTTTCTTTTTTTTTTTTTTTCTTTTTTTTTTTCATCAAAAATACAAAAGCACCCACCACATCCTCCAGCTTTGGCAGCTGCGCTTCGTTCGGAGCAGAGCCGTGGTCCTGCTGCAGCTCCGCTCTCCCTCCTCCTCCGTGGAACAGCTCTCAGCTCCTGATGGCAGTTTGAGCTTTGTTTTGTTTTTGTTTTCGTAGAGACAGAGATTTTGACGATTTAAAAACCAACAACCCCCCAAAAATCAAGTGACTTCGTGCCAAAATTCTCAGGAGGACTCCTCAAAAACGTCCCGCTCTCGCCTTGTATTTTCCTTCCAAAACCAGCTTCCTTCTGGAGACTCTCTCCTCCTCTTGCACTTTAGTTGTCTCCCCACTCCGTGAGTTCTGCTGGAGGGGAATGAGGTAGTGGATTTCCCCCTTCTCCTCTCCGTGTGGCCTCTCCCACTGCTGCTCAGGGTGATTTTTATCCCATCCCTCGCACAGGCTCGCTCCCAAAGGCGGTGAATCGAAGCATGCGTTCCTTCCGACGGCGCTCCAGAGCAGACTGTCTAGGGCTGCCCACCTACACTGTGACAATTTTTTGTTTTGTTGCAAGGCTGAAAGTAAAAACCCCAAAAGGAAAGTTGTCTTCCTCCTCTTCAAGGTATTTGCATGCTGAAACGTCTTCTAGGAAACTGTAAGAGAAAGAGTGGCTTAGGGCAGCTTCCAGCAGGCAGCAGATGTTCCCCTGACGCTCCTGGCTTGGCCTTTGGGGGTTTCTGAGTTGCCTCTTTGCCTGAGCTGTGCTGAGCATGCTGGTTTGGCACATGGGGTTGTGTTTGGAAGGTCCCCAAGACATTTTGGGGTTGTATTTCTGGGCAGGTTGATTTGTGTCCTGAAACCTTTCTGTTTTTACAGCACTCCACTCTTCTAAACCCAACCACAAGGGAAGGACCTTTCACCAGGGAGACCTTGTGTGGTCACCAGGGCCCTTTGGGCAGCACAGGGAGGGCTTCCCGTGCTGGTCGTGTGGGAAATGTGAGTTTGTACAGGGAGGAGCCCGTTCTCTGGGGTTTTTTTTACGTGTGTGTGCAGCTGGTGATGGTCAAACCAAGCTGGGTTTGACCTCCCACTGCACTTGGGCTGGGAATGAGGGGCAGGTCTGTCCTACCCCCTGGGCTGGAGCTGGCTGAGGGAAGGAGAAGGAAGGGTTACTGTTAGAACTCAAAATGTCTCTCAGACATTTTTAGAGGTTCCAAGTCTTTGTCAAAAGCATTTTAGACCCTGGCAGGCAGCTGGAAACAGCTGTGATTTTGAGTTTGAGCCATGGAATGAGTTACTAACTTTAAAAGTAAAACAAGCAAAGGGTTAGATAGTATAATAGAAGTAGTTACAAAGTAGAGGGGAAATTTTTTTAGTATTGTACAGGGGGGGTTTAGCACCTGTACAGGGGGGGGTTTATTTTGTACATGGGGGTCAGAAGTTCTAAGATAGAAAAAAATAAGCTAATCCTGTTCTTCCTCCTTTCTCTTCCTTGCCTCCATGTTCTTGGTGATGCTAGCTTGTAGATTAGTTTAGAGTAGAAAAGCACTTTGTAATATAAGTAATAAGTATTGGGGGAAAACTGTAAACATATAATACGTAATATATCATATAAAAGATAGCAGCAGCCCTGGGAGGGGAAAGAGAAGAAAAAGAGACCAGACAGTGAGGGTGTCAGGAGTTTGTGTCTCTGCTTGGGCTGCTGACCAAACAGCCACAGCCCAAGAAGAAAATCTTTTAGATAACTGGCAATAAACTGCCTTGAGACCAAACAACAAGAAGCTGCGGAGCCTTTCTTTAGAAGCACGGGTTAGAAGAAAGACTTCACCACCACACGAGACCCCTGAGCAAGCCCAAGGTTCTCCCAGGTTACCTCTGATGCTGAGTGAAATGTAGAGCACGATGATGATGGTCCCCAGCACGATGGAGACGATGCTGAGCAGCCTGGCCATGCGTCCCAGCCGCCGGGCGCCGTCCGTGTCCCCTTGCTGCCCGCTGTTCCTCGACTGGGGAGGCACAAAACGAGACCCTGAGAGAGGCAGCAGCTCTGGTGGGGGGGACTCCCTGCCTCTAGAGCCCCAAACCCAGCCCCGTTTGCTTTCCTGCTCCTTTAATTAGCCATCACTTGGTTGCCAAGCAAAAAAGTGAGGGTTCCTGGTGATTTGTTGAAAAAAATCTGGATATTGATCTAGTATCGATATCCAACTGTGAGGGACGAAAGCTCTCTAGCAGTTTAAAGTTAGAAAGTGTGTGTGGGATGGCTCCCAAATCCACACCACAGGTTCCAGGTGATTACAGAGCCCTTTTATCCATACAAGTATTGAATACCCAAAATGCAAATACATGTTCATCATTTTGGTCCATCCCATTGCTCGCCTCGTATGCTAATTACTCCAAAATCTATTGAGCATGCGTGGTTTGTTCCTAGAAATGGGTCGGTGTCGCTTTCATGGGGAGGGGTCCCAAAATGAGGAAGTCAATGAAGTCTTCCTCGTTTTGACCTTTCTACCTTTTCAATGCAAATATGACAAATGAACTCTTGGTAGAACTCCCATTCCTTGTCTTCAATTGGTTTCAGAGCAGAGGAGGCCCACAATGGTCTTATGTTCCTAAAAGCTATTTGTTAGTTTGTGTATTCTTCATTATAAAACCAGCTAACTAAACATTGTGCTGACGAGCAATCAAATTATTAGTTAACTACTAACTCCTTACTTCATCTAGGCCTACTCATTTATTATTATTATTTTAATTAACTCTAGCAAGGCTTATTTCTAACTAAAATCTTAGCTCCTCTAAAATCTCTAAATCCCTTAAAATTTACGTTTCACCTGGCTGTGGGGGGCAGGACCTCCTGATCCTGCTGGAAGGGATCTCCTGCCCTTGGCTGGGGGAGCACCCAGCCCTTGGCAGAGGGCAGCTGGGAGAGGACTCGTGGTGGGATTGCTCAGCGTGCTGCCAGCCCGGCCCTGGGCACCAAAAAGCCTCCCCAGATTCGTGCAGCGCCCTTCTGCTGCCCCCAAAACCCCTTGGGAAAGGCTTTTGGAGGGAGGAAAAGTGGGTAAGGGGTTTTAAGGCCTGTTGGTGACATTTTCACCTGGTTGGGAAAGTTTGGAGTGAGGGGAGAGAGAAGGGAACCCAGAATCCTTGATCCAGTGGAGGAATTGGGCAAAACCTCCTAAACCTCACTGAGAATGGGGTTTTATTGATGATTTAACTGCTTTGAAGCAGATACTCCTCCTTTGGGGCTGATTTTATTTATTTAACACTTTAACATGGTTAAAGGCTTCTTTCCCTGGCCCATCCATCTCCAGCCAAGCTGCCTTGGAGGAGAAGAAGAGGATCTGGGGCAAGCTGTGGGTTCAGCAGCTCCCACAGCCCTGTGCTGTGTGACAGCTCCTCCCTTTGGAGCACGGCTGCTAAAACTGGGGAAATTCTCAGTTAAAAAAAACCACCAAGTGTACTAGTTAAAATGAGTTAAAGGTGGAAGTGGATTAAAGCAATCCCAGTTTCCTTTCAAAAAATGTGTATCTCAGAAATAGCTGTGATGGGAAGGATCCCCTGCTTCATGTTAAAAAAAAAAAAAGAGTAGGGAGGTCTAGTCCAGCTCCAAAAATAATCACGAAACATCACAGAGAATCTGAACCAATACTTGATTTTACTGCCCCATTTCCCATTCATCCTGCTTTAATTCCACTGCCTCTTGGTAGCACCAAAACATCCCCTCAGCCCAGGCTGTGCATGGGCAGCTGCTCTGTAGGAAAAACGCAGCTTTGGATGTTTCCGTGTGCTCCTGTGAGTTTGTGTCGCCACGAAAATAACCCAGCAGAGCCTCAGGCAGGAGGGTGGCTGCTTCCTCTGCCCCCTGCCAACGTCCTGCCCCACTCAGGAGCCACCCTGGGCGTCCCTGTCCCCGCAGTGGCACCAGGAGTGCTCAGGACCTTGCTCCTCCTGGGCTCACCAGCAGCTCTGCCAGACCCGCTCCGACAGCGATGGGATGCAGCCAGGAGCTATTTTCATCCCAGAACAGGAGGTGACAAAATGAAGCCTCATGGGTTGGTGGTGAGAGATGGGGAGGATGCAGGAGCTCTGCCCTGCTCGCTGGCAGCTCCAGCTCCGGGGATTTGGTTTTTCAGTCTCTGGTTTTTGTAGCAAGTGTAAAAATTTGGCAGGGTGTGGGTTAGATTGCAGTGAAATTTGCAGTTTTAGCTGTCTTCAAGGCAAAATACATAGGCTAAGGCATTCAATATAGTTATCACTACAGCTTCTGGAAGTGTTTACTGCTCATTTATCCTCAACAATTATGAGAAACCCATCAGCATTGGCATGGGGCGTTTAGCAAGAATTTGGTACTGTACGTATATTATTAATCAGTGTGGAACAGTTTGATTACAGCTCTCTAGTATCACTAACCCCCCGTTTTGCTTTCCACATAAAAACATTAACATCTTGTTTATTCATCGAGGCTCACCAAGGCAGGAGAGCTCCAAAAAGCTCGAGGGCTCTCGAGTGAGTCACAGTGGGAGTGCCAAGGGACTCCCTGCTCCAGCCCAGAGCTGGAAAATCTGCAGCACCTGGGGAGTGGGTGCTGCTCTGCAGCAGCCCTGGGCCAGGTGAGGCTGGGTGACTCAGGAATTATTTCATTTCACCTGTTTCCCACTGCTATCTCTTCCACTTACTGCTCCAAATGGGTTTTTTCCCCTAAGTGGCCTTGTTGCAAATGAAGGCAATTACTTTCCTGTGCTAGGAAATACACAGGGATGGGGAAGACAAATCATCCCATCCTCTTTCCTGCAATCTTTCCCAATTTATGAACTGGCTTTGGATGCTCTCTGCTGCCGTCCACCAATTGCTGAGAATAAATCATTAATCCTGGACACTTGGTGTTTTTGTTGAAGGAAACATTCCAAGGGAGGTATCAGTCAACTCCAGAGTGAGACTATAACGGGTGAGGATTGTCTGACTTCTCACACATCTTTTGGCAATGACAGAACTTATTTTGGTACCAAGTGCTGTGCAGAACTGCCCTTGATGTTATTGTGTGGTGGTTCTGGCTGGTCTTTTTCATTTCCCTTCATTTATTTGGAGTTTTGTACTCTGGGATGTGGCTCTTCTGCTTCTTCCCCTGAAGTGGCTGCACTTTGGTGGGAAGAGGAAAGGATTCACTGCAGGAATGCAGGGTGGCTGTGTGGTAGCCAGCCCTGTCCTGCACTCCCAGGAGATGGATCCCAGGGGATGGACACATCCTTGTCCACCAGTCCCACTCTTTACTCTGGGGAGTGACCTGAACCCTTTAGAACAGCCAGATCATCACTTGTTGGGAAAAACACATCCCAGAGTCTGTGAAAAAGCCTCCAGGTAATTAATTTCCACAAAACCAGCGTTAGCAGGAACAGGCTGGGGGGACTAGAGCAGGGTTTTTTTCCACCTCTGGCCATAGGCCCTGCTGGGATCTGAGAGCAGCTTTTGAAAAATGATTTATGAGACACTAAGCTCAAAAGCATTCATTTACTTTCCTCTTTGGACGCTGCTTATTACCCAGGAAAAAAAAAAAAGCTTTCATGTGCAAAAGCTTTGACTCGGGAAAGAAAAGCACAATTGCAGAGCTAAAGGAATGTCAGCACATTGTGGAAAGGTCCTCCTGTTCCCCAGGCGATGGGAATCACAAAAACCTGGTTCCTGCTCAGATCTGTGCATGATCAGGCACACCTGGGCTTTACTCTGAAGAAGACCTGAGCCTGGGGGAGCCTTGGGGAGCTCAGTTCCTCCCTGCTGTAAGCAGCTGAAACATCAACCCGTGCCCTGAGAGCTGCTCCTGCTGGCAGGAGCACCCAGCCAGCTGTTCCCTGGTTCCTCAGGGAGGGAGGGAGGATGGATGGATCACTCCTCATCCTGCTCTGCTCGTGCCTGTGGAGGTCCCTGCCTGGCAGGTGGGTGTGTGGAGGAGGTGATGGTGCAGGCAGGGCTGCAGTGATTAATTGAACCGCAGGACAGAGAGTGCAGGGGGCACTGTGCAGGGGCAAGAGGATGTGCACTGGCTACTAATGTGCAGTGTGTGCCATTAACCTCGTCCAGGAGAACGAGCTCAGCTGAATGCACCTTCTGCCTCCCCTTCCCCAGCTCTGGATGAGCCCTGGGCAGGGCTGCCGGTGCCCTTGGAAGCAGAGGGCAGCTCAATAATCTTATTGCCTTGCTGGTCCTGCTTCCCCTTGGGTGTGACAGCCACCACACCCTGGTCCCTCTCAGCCTGGCAGGATGAACCAACTCCTGCTCTTTTTCTGCTGTAAACTCTCCTCCACGGGGCTCGTGTGGCCCCAGGCACACCCCCACCCCTCTGGGGGCTCTGACGCCTGCAAGGGACAGTGTGAGGATCTATTTTGCATGAAGGCTAATGTGGCTGGAAAATCCCCGTGAGAGCCCTTGTTTATTACCATGGATGTGCAATACCCAGCTGCTTTCCCTCTCCTTGCAGTGCAAAGCCAAGCAAGGCTGGCTGGCTTCCCTGGATGCTGCCTAAACAGGCTGTGCCACACAACTGTACTACGCAGATGACAGCTGGCACTGGCAGAAACGATGATTCCTCCTCAAAATGGAAATTGGTCTCCCCAGAGGGCTTTTTGTGGCAAGTGCCCGTGCCTGCCTTCAAGTTGTTGGTGGTTTTGGGGTGAAGTGATGGCTGCAGGTGCCCCTCAGTGTATTTCTGTGTGGTAAGCAGGTAATGGAGCTGATTTTCAAAGAAAAGATTTGCCTTTGTTGCAAATCAAAGGCATAGAAGGTGCTGGGTGTGTACAAGAGAGCAGCATCTGCTGGGGAGGGGGGTGGCTGTGCTTGTAGGGCTGTGCTGACTGAGCCACCTGTACCCGCGATGGGTGGGAGGCCGGGCTGGCTTTATTCTCCCCTGCTCGGCTCTTGGTGGATTTGCTGAGGTGTGGGGGATGTTTAATGGAGGAGAATTGCTTCTCTAGGGCGACTAAAGGAGCTGCAGGTGCAACCTGTCCCTTTGAGGTGCCTGAGGCCAGGCACCAGCCTCCAGCCAGGGTCTCCCCAGTGCTGCAGGGCTGGGCTCGGAGGGGCGGGGGGAGATCCCTCGGCTGCTTCGCCCCGCAGCTCCTTGCCGGGGAAGCCCGCCGAGTGGTTCTGGACCGCTGCCTGGCGGCAGGGACCGCGCTTCCCGGAGCCCTGCCCTGGAATCCCACCCCCCTCTCCATCTCCATCTCCATCCCGCCGCCTCCTTTTCCATCTCCATCTCCATCCCGCCGCCACCTTTTCCATCTCCATCTCCATCCCGCCGCCTCCCCGCGCTCTGCCCCGGGCTCGGTGCGCTCCCCGCCCGCCTCCGCCCGCCCGCGCCCCCCGGACCCGCACCGGAGCGCGCTGCGGGAGCCGAGCCGGGCGGCACAGCCCGGCCGAGCCCGCGGGAGCGCAGCGGGAGCGGAGCGGGAGCGGAGCGGGCTCCTCCCGGCCCGGTGCCGGTGCCGGGGGTGCAGCACCGCGGACAGCTCCGGGGCGCCCGTCGGGGCGGCGGCGGGGGAAGCCGCGGGCGAACCGGGCGGGTGCGTGCGCCCGGCGGGTCCCGCACTCACCATGATGGAGAAGACGAGGGCCACGATGTTGATGGGCCAGACGGGGCAGAAGCACGAGAAGATGGCGAGCACCAGGTAGTCCCGAGGGCGGCCCTGCTCCGGGGCCGCCGTGCTGGTGGCCGTGGACGAGGCTCTGCCCAGGCTCAGCCGGGACGGCGACAGCGGCGGCGCCTCCAGGTGCCCGACCGACACCGACTTGTAGCCGAGCCCGTGCCCGTTGCGCTCCGTCTCGCCGGGCAGGGCTGCCGTGAAGGATTTGGAGCCGCGGAGGCCCTTCTCCTCCCGGCCCTCCGTCGCCGACAGCAGCTTCTCCGTCTCCTGGAAGCGGGTGGGCAGCGCCGTGCCCGAGCCCGGGCCCGCGCCCCCGGGCGCGGAGCCGGTGCTGGCCATGGCCCCGCGGAGCGGGCTCCGGCAGCGCCCCGCCGCCGCCGCTCTGCGCTCGGGGCCCGCCGCCCCGCGGGAGGCCGAGCCGGGCTGGCCCCTCCTCCGGCTCGGCCCCCGGGGCAGGATCGGGGCCGCGGACCGCCCCCGGGGTGTCCCCGGCCCCCCTCTCCTCGCCCCCTTACCGCGCTCGGCCTCCGCCCCAGCCGCTGCGTGCGGCGCCGCGGCCCCCGGGGATGCTGGCGGGGATGCGGCGGGGCGGGGCGGAGCGCTGGGAGAGCCGGGGAGTCCCCGCCGCCTTCAGCCGAGCCCAGCCCAAGGCTCTGTCCCGCCCCGCTGACCCCCAGCTCTTCCCAGGGGCTCCCACGGGCTCCGCTCCGCTGCAGCGCTACGTGCGAGCCCGGCCCCGAGCGGGCTCCGCCCGTGCCGGCGGGGCTCGGGGATGCCGAGGGCAGCGCCGTGCGGGGCGCACACAGCCCTGCTGTCCCTGCTGGCTGCCAGCCTTTCCCCGGGCAGGCGGGGGACATGCGACACGGAGCAGACCCACGAGCCCCTCATCGCTGCGGAGAGCGGCGGGAGCTGCCCTGGCTCTGGGCAGGGCTGCCCGGAGGGTGCCGGGGTCTGGGCAGTGTGTGGGTGCCCGGTGGCACCTCTGGCTCCAGCCGCTCTGGGACCAGCCGTGCCCGGGGCTGGGGGAGGCTTGGGCACGCTGTGCTGAGCTCGCCCTGCCCTCGCTGTGCGTGGGTGACCGTGGTGACACCACAGCTGGGGACAGGGACACCAGATGAGTGGCAGACCGTGCCCCTACACAGAACCTGCAAAGCAGTAAGGGTGCTGGTGCAGTGTGAGTTACACCTTCTCCATCCTTGGGAGCAGGGATGATGTGAGGGGCAGGAGGGGGGGGCTAAAACAACCCTTAGAGCCTGGATGCCCGGGAAAAATTGATGTTTTCCATCCATTGTGTATTATGCTTCACTGCCAAATTTGCCAGGGGTTTCCCTGGCAGTGAGTGCCATCTACGGGGCACACCCAGCACCTCCTGCCTCCCCGAGAGGTGCCCTAAGAGACTTCTGCCAGGCAGGACCTGCTGCCCGGAGCTTTATCCCATCCTGCAGCCTCCAAACAGAATTAGGAGCCACAGTTTGCCAATGTGGAATTGGAAGCAGTGGGGTGTCCCTGCTTGGCGGGGTTTCACGGGATTTTGATTCCCTTCCACTCCTGCCTCTGTGACCATCTGTTTCCATCTGCCTCACTTCGGCTGACCACCAAAGCTGGTGAGGGAAAACCAGGGAGATGCACATTCCTGCCTGAGTTAGGGAGTCACTGAAACATTCTTTGAACGCTGCTGTTGCTGGGCTCTCGCTGCCCGTGTGACAGCTGCTGACAGGGCAGGGCCATGCACTGCTCCAGGGAGAGCCACCCAGAGCTGTAGGGAGAAGCAGGATTCCTTCAGAGGAGTGGCTGCAGGCCTTCTTCTGGCAAGGGGAGCACCTGTGAGAGGCTGAAGCCAGGATGCCTCACACCATCAGCGCTTTAAAGAAGCTCCTTTGCTGAGCAAAGAGCTCTCTCTCCTGGCTGCCACCAGTTTTCCTCTGCTCCTGGACCAGCTCCCTTGTCCCACCAGGGATTAAGGAAGGAGGAGGAGGTCCCGGTGCTCAACAGCAGGAGGTTGGGATGGTTGTTCCAGCATATGTCCCCGGGCAGGGAGAGAGCTCAGATTGGCCCTGGAATGTTGGTAGCACTGGGGTGGGAGCAGAGGGGCTGGAGGAGATCTGCAAGGCTCGGCACTGCGGGAATCACACGGTGCAAATGTCCTGTCCAAAAACCTGCCAGCTGTGGTGTGTGTGTGGCTGTAAATCCCTGCCTGATTCCTGCAGCAATTCCAGTTTGCTGAGCCTTGGGCAGGAGGGAGCCCTCGCAGCTGGTCCAAGCTCTCCAAGCCAGAGGGAAGGGACAAAAGGGACCTTTTCAGTAAAATTCCCCCTTCCTCCCCTCCACGGGACTTGGCCGGGAGCGTGCTATTGGCCTGTCCCAACAGAGCCACTTCACTGGGATCAGAAGGAAACCGCAATTGGATGGGTGGGTTTTATGAAAGCCGACATCTGTCTCCCCTCCCGGCCTCGCAAATCTGCCGGGCACAAACGTCTGTAGCAATGAGCTTAGCGTCAAAAGTCCCAGGGCAGTAACCTTCCCCTGCTCCTGCTCCCCTCCTTCACCGGCGGCAGCCAGAGCCTCCCGCCAGCCAGGGGCTTTAGCGTGATCCCCATCTGTCCATCCCACACATATTAACAGCCACTGCCCTGCTGCTGGGTTTGTAACTCGTGTTTTCCCGCAGAACAAGCAAGAGAGAATAAATAACAGTGGCCATCAGCAGCAGTGAGACCTCGCGACAAGAAACACAGAGCCGGCACTTCCAGAGGACTTCCCACCTTTCCGCAGTTTTCCCGCAGAGGGGAGACACCCAGCAGGATCCTGTACAGCGTGTCGGGGGCTCTCTGAGCCCGCCAGCATCAGCTGAGCTGCACCTCCAGCAGCGCTTCTCTCCCTCGCCCAGCGGTCCCTTCCCGCTCCCCCCACTTGTCCCACGGCTCCGTTCCCTTCCCGGCGCCGCCCCGCCGCCCCAGCCCTGCGGGTTCAGTGCGTGGGGAGGCACTGCTGGTGCCCCCAGGCCTGGCAGTGTCCCAGCTGCCAGGGCGCGGCTCCCAGCTCCCGCGGGCTGCCCGCGGCTCGCTGCTGGCCGGCGCCGCGGGGCGCGGGGCGCGGGGTCCCGCCGGAGCAGCAGGCGCGGCCGGGCGCGGCGCGGTTCTCCCGCGGGCTCTCGTAGTGATGGAGCTGCCGCTGAGGGGAGAACGCGGCGCAGAGAGGGGACGGAGGGCGCCGTGTCCCTGCAGAAACGGGCTCCCAGGGCAGCTGGGGGCGGCCGCCCTTCGGCCCCGACTCCTGCGCAGGGAGCCCGGCCCGGGCGCGGCACTCGGAGTGGGCACAGGGCCAGCAGCAGCCGGCGCCGCGCAGGGACAGCGACAGAGCCGTGATCCTGTTGATGGCGCGCCGGAGGGTTGCGATTTTAGAAAGCCTTTTGCCTCCGAGGTCGTGCTTGAGGGCCAGCCGCAGGGCGTTGAAGGCTTGGTTGTAGTCCAGAATCCTCTTACGCTCTCTGACATTGGCAGCCATCCTCCTGGCCTTGGAGCGCACCGGCCTGCTCCTCTTCCTCACCTTCATCCCTTCCGTGTCCCCCGGGCTGGCGTCTGCTTCCCTGCCTTGGGAGACCCACAAACCCTGCCCGTAGCACGCCTGGGATGCGTTCCTCGCTTCCAGCTCCTCCTCGGAGCTGTCGGGCTCTGGGTCCCCTTTCCCCATGGCTGCTCCGGCCATGGCAGCAGGAGGGGGAGCGGGAGAGGAGCTGCTGTGATCCTGCCTCCTGGGAGGTGTGGGTGACACTCCTCCAGGGACAGGCAGCCGCCTCTAAAAACCTTCAGCAGGGCTCATCACGTGGCTGCCCCGACCCTCCTCACCTGCCGCAGGTGAGGCACAGGGAGAGGGCCCTGCCTGCCCCCTGCTCTGAGTGAGAGGCACCAGTGCTGGCTGCCCACAGCTTCTGGTGGGATGCTCACAGGCCCCCGAGAAAAGCACCTCCATCAAGCACACGTTGTTTTAGTGGCTGCTGAGAATCCGGGCACTGCAGGAGTTCCCCCATGCTGCTCTGCCCTCTCCTCTGCTGGGCGGGCTGGTGGCTCACCCTGGGACAGTCATCCCAGGGCTCTCCGTGGTGCCCAGCGGGACATCACCACCCTGGCTCTTCCTTTCCCCTGCTCACGGGTCCTGAGCACCTCTGTTATTCCTCGGCTAAGGGAAACTGAAGCACGAAATGGTGCAATTACTGAGGAAAGCAGCAGGTCTTGTGCTTGGGTACAGGAGAAGACACAGTCCTGGTGAGCTGAGAGCATCCGTGGGGACAGGGGGAGGTAGGGCCTGAGCAGGAGCAGACCCCTGCAGGAATGTGCAGGGCTTGGCACGCCTCTGCCCTGCGGAGCAGGAAGCGGGAATGTGGCAGGGGGGATCGGGGCAGGTGATAAAAGAGCTAAAGTGCTACCTGCCTCCAGAGCTTTCCTGTCCCTTCCCAGCAGCCTGGGGGCAGAGCTGTCTGGGCCGGCGCTCCCGGGCCTGCCCGCCACTTAACTTGGGGAAGACGGTGCTGAAAGCAGCTCCTTGTTCCCTGCATCCCCGAGCCGGTGGGATGGGGGGCTGGCCAGGTGCAGCAGGTCCAGAGGCCATGGGCAGGGCCAGGTCCCCAACCTCCGAGCAGTTGGGGACAGCCACGTGTGTTTGCCCATCATCTCATTAGCCAGCAGTTGTTAAATGCCTTCCTGTGCAAAGAGCAATGCTTTGAAAAATGGTCCAGGAGTGGCTCTGACAAATTGTTGGGGTGTCTGGTGCAAAAGCAGAGCCCTGAGAGAACGTGCCCCTCCCTCCTTGATCCATCCCTTCCTATCTGATCATCCCAGCTCATGTTTGATCAATAGCCACAATTAGTGGGGAGTTATTCGTCTATTGCCCTTCTCCTCTCCTGGCTCTTTGAAGGTGGAGCTAATTTAGGTGCCTCTGCTCCAGGAACCCAATAAATCAGGAGCCAGGGCCTCAGGGACAGGGGAGGATGAGGCAGCAGCACTTCAAAGGCAGGTGAAGCTTGCAAATGTCTTTGAGCACTCACCTGTGCTCACTATGACCCCCTTGTTCTCCCCAGCATCCCTGTCACCTCCCAGTCTTTGTCTGCCAGGAATGGAGGCTCCCCAACCACTGATTTACCCGGCAAGCTCAGCTCAGGAGCCAGGGAGGGTCTTTGAATGCCAGCAGGACATAGAAGTCAGACCCACCTAGAGCCTGTCTAAGCCCAGCTAAGCAGGACAGATCCCTGCCATGGGGTTTTTTTGCTGGTGCTGGAGGTCAGGAGGTGCAGTCCAGAGCAGACACGGGGGTGGCTGAGCTTGGGCAGGGGCAGCAGTCCTGAAGCTGTCCCCATCCCACCCACAGCCCCTGGGAGATCCTTGGGAAGCTCTGCCGGGGCTCCTGGGTCTCTGGGCAGCCCTGGCTGCAGGG